CAGACCTTATGCTGGTACAGTGGGCCCTGGGTTCCTCCTAATGAAGGATAATGTCCGGCCTCATGTGGCCAAAGAATGTAGGCAGTTTCTGAATGATGAAGGCTGTTGGTGTTTCCTTAAATGCTCTTACAATCACTGATATGTAATTTTGCTCGTACAATTTAAATTAAAATCCCTAGTCAGTAAACTGGAAAAGACCACGTTGGTTCCATAGGACATGTCCCTTTAGACAAAAGGATATAGTTTTCAGCGGGAAAACCTTCTTCCATGCCCAAAACTTGTCCTCCTTAGGTTAGTGGGCAAAAAGAGCTTCACAGTCATCTCAGCTTTCAAGATCACGTTTGTTTTGTCTAGTTTCCCTAGACGTCTTTCTGTAAGTTTCTTTTGTACCTCATTGTAAGTCAGTGCACAATTTTTCATTATTTTGTTTCCATACCACGTAGTCTTCTGAGTTATAGCATGCTATTTTTCAGTTTTTTAGTTTATCTAGCCAAGCAGTCACAGGTATTTTATTATTAAAGTTGTGGTAAACGATTCTAATCCAAAATGCGTCTTTTTGTCATATTCAGTGAATATCTCCTCACAGCCCGCTAGCTGTCCATTCTGTGAGTGCACTGAAAAATCCTGAAGTTCAAAATAAATAAGTGTTTATTAAAGTAGTGTTTCTCTTACATTGACCTCACCCAGCCATACAATTTGCTAAAAAACAAGACATTTATCCTGACAGAAATGCTGTCTGGTGATAAATTTATTAAACAAAACTTCAAACAAACGTCATGTCACTGAAACATTTTAGAACATGCTAATTAACAGTTTCTGGCAAACACTTTGTAGTTTTGAAACTAAACTACTTGACTATAAACTTTCAAACTTCCATACTTCTATACTAATTATAAGCAGATTCTGAAAAACGGAACACTGTGAATATGCATTATGGATTTAGAATGTGGCTTCATTCTAGTATTTTTGCAGCTCTGACTTCACGTCAGCGTGCTGGCCTAGTGGCTTCTCATCAGTAAGAATGTTTCTTTGAAGTAGCTTCACATTGTCAATATAAATTATGATGTAATTTGAATAGTTTGGCGGCAACCACCTTTGTCATCATTTTAAATGGATTCACAGGCTCTGTGCTGAAATAGAGACAAGCTCTGAATGAGTCTTCCAGATGACACACCAGACTGGGTGAGGCTAGTGAGTCAGTCTGCACAGAGGACAGGTAACTTATAGAGCCACACTCAATGCACATCTCAGTTATGTGAAATAGGAAGCTGTGGCAGTATATTCCTGCTCAGTATTCACATCCACATGATGCTGCATACCTCTAGCACATGGCTGCTTGTGCTGAGGTGCCATAAATCCACCGGGCTGCTTTCATCTGAAAGCGGAGCTAAATTGACAACAAATGTTGTCCCTCTTTTCCTTGGCCTCCTAAAGGTTCTGACAAAGTGCTTCCAGAGAAAGGCTGCAAATGGCTTCATGTCCTGCAGGCTCATATTTATGTACAGAAATGTTAAATTAACTTGCGCCTACTTAGACTCACCAGACCATTTCTTGTGCTGGACTTTGCCGACTGAGAAGTTGAAGGATTGAATCCTTGCCCAGCAACTAATGTTCTGGTGTTGCTTTACAATACAGCCTTGTATACTTTTCTCAGACAAACACAGTCAGCCCTCAGCTTGCACAATATACTGTATACGTCTCCACTTCAACTACATTCATCATCATTTTAGACCCATTTTAGATCCACAAACAGACAAAAACCATGATACATTACATCTCAATAATAAACACGTGCTAAAAGTGTGGTAGACTACTGGATCAGAAAACAAGCCCCAGGTGAGTTGAAAAAACATCACTGGTTAAATCCGGAGTGTGGAAAGTGAGGTTGGCTTCATGGCTCTGCCAAGCAAATAAACAGTAAGAACACATCACAGCAGCGTGGCTCAATTCAGCATGTTTTTCAGACTAGTTTCCAGTCCAAAACTACTTTAAGTCCACAGATATGTGGACTGAAATCATCCAGCAGCTGACCACATTCCAAACGCGGTATTTAAGTCTTTGTAAACTCAGTTTCCGACCAGGCATGTGGCACATAATTTATTAAGCTATTTTCTCACTGTGTGTCAACACCAACACAGGACGGGTATTTCTGATAACTTGAAGGATGACACATGATTTAAATCACATAGAATAACACACATTGATATACTGTACGAGTAGTTAGGGAACAGATACAGGGCCCTTAGTTGAAGAGAGATTTAAGAGATTACATAGAACAGTAAGGTAAGCTACAATAAAGTAGAATTAGATAAAATGAGATAAACTAATAAGATGAGAAATAAGATCATTTATAAAACAGAGCAGAATTCATTGATTTTGGTGACTGGTAGTTAGTTAAGTGGTAATAAGTGTATAAGCTTGGACCTCAGAGAGCTGGCTGGCCTGGTCCAGTTAGCTCACCATCTAGTTATGCATATTGTAACTACGTCAGAAAGCATCCAGCGCCACCTTTTTGTGAGGACTTTGGGGATTAATTTCACTTTCTCGTGTGACCAAGGCCTTATTTTGTTTTTTCTCTTGTTTGAGGATGCTGACATTAATTTCTAAGAAATTCCTGAACTGCAAACATCTAAACTTGATGCAATCACTGTTCTTTACTTCAAAACAGATGTTTCTTGGAGAATGCTGGCATAGGCACACACACATGCACACGCAGACACAAAAGCATGCACAGTGCTGATTTGGAGAAACCCCCAGGTCTGTTCATGTCACGAGAACGGTCTGGCTGTGGTCTGCAAAGTGAGCATCCAGTTAAATCCATAAACCCACAATTGGCCAAGGAAGGACTGTAATGTTGCTATTAGATCTAGGTCAGAGTTCATTAGAAAATAAGATGCTTTTGAAATTGCAATCTGCCAAAAAATTCTAAGAAGATGGTTCTGTATTAGTGCCTGCTTACCACTGATGTATTATTAGAACTCTTGCTGCTTACTATGATAACATAAAGTGGTACTGTTAACTGTTAATACTGCTAGCTAATCCGCTAATTTTCATCTTCCTGTGACTGGTGTGAAAACATGCATACCAATTTGTCCAAATTTGTACTAATGAAGATAGGACTTTTAAGTTACAGGGTGACAGCAATGTAGACCTAATGGCAGAAATTTGCAACATTTATATTTTGTCATGTCACTTGTATATTTGAATTGCTTATATCCAGTAGCGTGGCGTGGGGTAAATTCTTGGGGGGCGATTATCTAATGCATTGTGCTATTACACTGCAGGGTATAATTTCAATCAAACTTTAAAGATGCGCACTCTGTTATCAATACACACGCTGAAAGTTGCATTTACAGGGACGTACGCTCTCCCACACTCTCTCTCACCCCAAATAGCATACATAACCTGCACCATAAGCAGCGGGCTAAGACTAAAAGAAGCCTTCACAAGCTCAATTACTGTAGAAGACGATTGAAGACATTTGCGTAGTAGCAGTGGTGCATGTACCAATAGGCCTACATACTTCTTAATGCTTGGCCAAATGTTCATAACACAACATCACTGAAGACTAACAACCGAGTATCCGGCCAACAGAGTATAGACAATTATTCAGGTAGCCTGGCCCAGTGCCCTGTGGCAGGTGCTGTCTGTAGTGCTCATTATCTATGCGTACACAACCGCAGTAAAAACAATAAGGTTACATCAACTGACCATTCACAGCTAAATCCGGGCAAGCAAAGCAAAACAAACAATATAACCACATTAAAAATCGCACAAATAGCTGCAGTTGAGTTCAGTTAAGAGAGAGAAGGAGGTGACATTTCACTCAACCTATCTGAAAAGGAAGGCCATTCTCCTGTTGCGAAGTGGTCAATAACCAAGTTATAAAACTTCCCACTGGCTTTTCGTCCTCCGCAACAACAGTCGAATTTTGACGCTACTAGCTAGCCACACTGTACGGATATAGTTTTCCTCATTGAACATCCAAAACCCCTTTTTTCTCTCCACGCCCAGCTCCAGTTTTGCCGTTGGTCTTCTGTCAAATTTAATCTTAAGTTGCTGCTTTAGTGGTAGTTTAGTAAAACTATTTATTATATCTAAAAACTCCAAATCTCCACCCTCCATAACTGCACCTGCTAACAGCTCCCGTTATTTCATCTGAATGACGTTGATGCATGGTGTGATTTGATTGGCGTGAAGCCAGACAGCGTCATCCTGACTAATCACAGTTAGGCAGTGGCATGACAGTGGCCTCATCTGATTGGTTAATCATTAAAAAAAATTTCACAGCGGGATGCCAACTCTGCCTGGCCTCCTCGCTTAGTTAGACTGAAGGCCAGTCTACGGTGGTGCAATATAGTGTTTCGCCACACATCCAACGCATAACATTTAGAGGGGCGCTGTTTCACTTATTGTAAGACAGGGAGAAATGGGGAAGAGATGTCAGCAACAGCTTATAAGATTTATCGAAACTACAAACATTGTGTTTTTATTGAAATGATAAATAGAGTCTGATAAAAAGAGGGGAAGCCTGGCTTCCTTTGGCTTCTGGGAGAAAACGCCACTGCTTACGTTGTACTTTCCCAGATCTTGGAACTTTAAACTTGTGGAAACAAGAGCTTATTGAGTAACTGACACTTTAATTTTAGTCTTTATGCTAAAGCTATGACTCCCTGTATTGTTGTTTGTATTGTAGTGTACTTGTATAATATTGTGTTGTTCATAATGGTTTAAAAGTAACTCGCTGGCTGTCGTCAAAGACAATGTAAACATGCTTGGTACAAAATCGGGCACGAATAAGCACATGCATGTGCAGAACGGAAATGACAGTACTCCACAGCCAGTCATAACAGACTCTACTGCAAGGGTGCATAGCTTCAGGTGGGCGTGGCTTGAGGGGGCTCAGCTTGAGGTGCTACAGGATTATTGGATGACACTGCAGCCAAAGTCCAACCACACACACACACACACACACGCACACACACACAGGCCTAAAGAAACATGATCTCACAAAAGGCTTAATTTTTAGCCAGAACACAGTGTTCTCCTGCCATCCAGTGAGAGCAGCAAGGGGAGCTGAAAAAAGCCAGGAACACTTTGTCAAGACTACTACACTACACCTCAGCACAGCAACAAGTCAACATCTTGTTTGAGTTTAGCCCTCAGCTGCTGATGGCACACTGTACAGAGATCTGCTCCTGCTGGGTTTTTACAACTTTATTGGAAGGTTAGTCACCAAACAACTGCAAGTTCATTTAGTGGAATTATTTTATGAAGAACAATATCTCCTTGGCATTTGTTTTGACTAAAATTTGAATTAAATTTATTTTCCTGCAGGACAGCAGCCCATATATTGACATCTACATTTATCCATTTAGCCGACGCTTTTTATCCAAAGCGACTTACAATTGACCCTTCATTAAGCCACGCCCCAAATACACAGCTGGCCAATCACAGGGCAGTATAGGCGCTCCATTCATTCTAATGCTTTCTTCTGCTGTATTTTTCCATGATATGGTCAAACGCTGTTCCTGGGGCACTTGTAATAGCTTCAGTCGCTACCCAGAGAGGTTGACAGGAGAAGTACGGTTTATTATTTTTCCAAAACCTAAAATAAATCCAGAAAAATGTAGGCTATGGATTGTTCCAAATGTAATGTTAGTCAGCTAGTGCTTCCTAACTTTCTACTGAATGTAACGTAATAAAGCCCCACTGTTCTGTTTTTTAATGATTGTAATAATGAATAGAGGCCTACCCAGCTTTACAGGACCAGTGTTGATCGTTCATATTGTTGTCTTTTGTCTCAATCGTCGGGGGATGCGGTGGTTCACTTGTACTGTGTGATTGGTAGGCTTAGCTTCTATCTTTAATTTTTTACAACCTTCAAATGTATAATGCAACTGCAAAACTGTCTGCTTCTTTCTGAGATCGCAACGGTTTTTCCAACAAATTTGACAATATTTCTCCAGGGAGTGCAGTAATAGACAGTGGCAGCGCTGACAGTTTGTCGGATTTAGCAACAGTAACTAAGGGGGGCGGGGCTTAGCGAAGGGTCAATTGCTATATATGTCAGAGGTTCTGGAGCAACTAGGGGTTAAGTGTCTTGCTCAGAGACACAATGGTGGACAGTAGGGAATTTAACCCTGGTCTCTCACACCAAAAGCATACTCTCCTCTCCAAGATGGCGCTGAGTATAGCTGCCTCGGTGTTAGGTGCGCTTTGTTTTGTTTTTGTGTGTTAATTCAGTTTTTGGCTGTGATTCCTGGAGCTCTTTCACCAGGGAGGAGCTCATGAACATCAGGGGAACAACTCCAGCGGATTTAATTCCCACTTTTCTTGCATCATCAGTGGAATTATCGGACATTTTGGTGAAGGCCTCGCTCGTTGTCGTTCGTGCTGTGAAGGAGAGGAAAAAGAGCCAGGTCGCTCGTGCGTCTTCGCAGGCGGGGACTCCGCACACCGCTACCGGCAATATTTCTCTCCAACGTGCGCTCACTGTGCAACAAACTGGACGAACTTCAGCTACTGGTGGGGAAAAACAGAAACTTATTCATCTTCTGTTCTGTGCTTCACGGAGACGTGGCTGTATGAGCTGATACCAGACTCCGCGCTGCAGCTGGCAGGCTTCCAACTCTACAGAGCGGACCACGACACAGAACTCTCCGGCAAAACAAAAGGTGGAGGTGTCTGTTTTTACATTAACAATGGCTGGTCTACCGATGTGACAGTGATTCAACAGCACTGTTCTCCTAATCTGGAATTTTTAATCATTAACTGTAAACCGTTTTACTCCCCCGTGAGTTTGCTTCATTCACTCTGGTCAGTGTTTACATCTCGCCGCACGCCAACGTGCATGACGCACAGCGCATGCTGGCCTACCGGATACTGTGTGTTGAGCAGACAAACCCAGACTCCCTTGTTATTGTTCACGGTGACTTATCAACAAAGGAAACCTCTGCCAAGAACTCCCCAAATTCAGACAGTTTATAAAGAGTCCAACCAGAGAGGGGGACACTTTGGATCTCTGCTACACCACAGTTAGCAGTGCCTATCACGCCGTCACACGCGCTCCACTGGGACACTCTGATCACGTGATGGTCCATCTGATTCCTGCTTACAGGCAGAAACTAAAGCTCTGTAAACCTAGGACATCAAAGAAGTGGACTAGTGAAGCTGTTGAGGACCTCCAGGCATGTTTGGACTGCACTGACTGGGACATTTTCAAGAAGGCTACCGACAATCTGGATGAGTTTACAGGGGCTGTGACGTCCTACATCAGCTTCTGTGAGGACACATGTATACCAACACGCAGTAGGCTGAGTTATAACATTGACAACCACCTGGTTTACAGCTAAACTCAGACAGCTGAGGTTGGAAAAGGAGGAGGCATTTAGGAGTGGTGACAGGGCCGGGTGCAGGGTGTTACAGTACAGGTTTAGCCAGGAGGTGCGGGAAACAAAACGACTGTACTCAGAGAGACTTATGCTGGGTACACACTAAAAGATAATCGGGCTGATTTTGGGCCGATTTCCCCCCTTCCGACAATCCTAGCTATGTCCCAATTATCTTGATGGTTCTACAGATTATTTTATCAGATTCTCCCTTGGTGTGAGGTGTGTTAAGAGTGTCCGAACCTGCTTATTCTGAAGTCTCGCGATATTTTGCGAGATTTCCTGTGTTCACAGTCTAGAACAGTTGAAAATCTGTTTGTGTGTGGTGTGCTGTCACATCATGGCACACCACACACTATAGGAGCAAAACGGTTAAATCTAGGATTTTTTCTCCTCATGTTTGTGGTCTATCACATTTTGAAAATCTTATAAGATGTAAAAAATCCTTGGGTGTGTACCCAGCATAAAGAACCAGTTCTCTGCAAACGACACCACTTCTGTCTGGAGGGGGTTCATACAGAACTATAATCCTGACGTCCCACACTCCATAAACGATTCTGGCCTGGCAAATGAGCTGAACCAGTTCTACTGCCGTTTTGAGACACCATCCCCTGTGACTCCTTCGCTCAGCTTCAGCCTCAGTCCACCACTTCTACCCCCCTCCCCAGAGCTGGCCAGCTCCACCCCCTCCCCTCCTCTCTCCATCACAGAGAGGGAAGTCAACGGTCTTTTCAGGAGGCAGCAGGCCCGTCTCCCCATCCACTCTGAAGCACTGTGCTGATCAGCTGTCTCCGGTGTTCACAGACATTTTTAACACCTCATTGGAGACATGCCATGTGCCAGCCTACTTCAAAGCCTCCACTATCATTCCTGTCCCCAAGAAACCATGGACCACGGGACTAAACGACTACAGACCCGTCGCCCTGACCTCTGTGGTAATGACGTCTTTTGAACGCCTTGTGTTGTCCCACCTTAAATCCATCACAGACCCTCTCCTGGACCCCCTGCAGTTTGCCTACAGAGCCAACAGGTCTGTAGGTGATGCAGTAAACATGGCCCTTCACTACATCCTCCAGCACCTGGACTCCCCAGGAACCTACGCCAGGATCCTGTTTGAGGATTTCAGCTCTGCTTTTAACACCATCATCCCGGCCATGCTGCAGGACAAGCTCTCTCAGCTGAGCGTGCCTGACTCCACCTGCAGGTGGATCACAGACTTCCTTACGGACAGGAAGCAGCAGGTGAAGCTGGGAAAACATGTCTCTGATTCCAGGACCATCAGCACCGGATCCCCTCAAGGCTGCGTTCTTTCCCCCCTTCTCTTCTCCCTGTACACCAACAGCTGCACCTCCAGTCACCAGTCTGTCAAGCTCCTGAAGTTTGCGGACGACACCACCCTCATTGGGCTCATCTCAGGTGGGGATGAGTCCGCCTACAGGTGGGAGATCGACCATCTGGTGACCTGGTGCAGCCAGAACAGTCTGGAGCTCAACGCTCTGAAGTCAGTAGAGATGGTCGTGGACTTCAGGAAGAGCCCAGCCCCACCCTCCCCCATCATCCTGTGTGACTTCCTGGGCAACATCATCTCCCAGGACCTCAAGTGGGAGCTGAACATCACCTCCCTCACCAAGAAGGCCCAGCAGAGGATGTACTTCCTGCGGCCGCTGAAGAAGTTCAGCCTGCCAAAGATAATGATGGGGCACTTCTACACCGCCATCATTGAGTCCATCCTCACCTCCTCCATCACCATCTGGTACGCTGCTGCCACTGCCAGGGACAAGGGCAGGCTGCAGCGCATCATTCGCTCTGCAGAGAAGGTGATTTGCTGCAATCTTCCATCTCTTCTGGACCTGTACTCCTCGAGGACTCTGAGGCGAGCAGGAAAGATCACAGTTGACTCCTCCCACCCCAGACACAGATTTTTGTTTTGTTTCAGACTCTCCCCTCTGGCAGGAGGCTGCGGTCCATCAGGACCGAAACCTCTCGCCACAAAAACAGTTTCTTCCCGTCTGCAACTAGCCTCATTAACAAGGCCCGGGTCCCCCACTGACACTCCCCCTTGCAAATGATACAAATGTCTCTGCACATGTAAATACTGTTTCATCTCGTGATGTGCACAGACCTGGCACGTCGCACATATTTGTTGTTGATCTTTGTTGTTGTATATTTTATGTTGTCAGTTTATATATTTATATGTACACAACCTTCTCTTCCTTCGCGTTACTTCTGCACGGCACAGACCCAGAGTAATGCACATGTACATATCTGCAACGTTGTTCTTCTATTCCATATTTATATATTTCTACATTTATTTGTCAACTGTATGTTTGTCTACGTGTAGCACCTTATCACCACAGCAAATTCTTCGTATGTGTAAAACACTACTTGGCAATAAAGCTCCTTCTGATTCCGATTCTTCTTATCCATTATGCTATCACCCCTAAAATTGCAATTACATTTTCCCCCCAAATCTCTATATTTATTTAGCCAAAGTGACTTACAATTGCTATATTGTAAGTGTCCTGCTCAGACACAGGAGTGGATGCGTCGCAGTGGGGAATTGAACCCGGGTCTCTCACACCACAGGTATGTGTATTATCCACTGTACTATTGCCACCACACCCATCTCCACTAATATGTAGCTTGTTACTGTACATTTCAAACTGTCTATCAGAGGAGTTTGGTCATCTTACTTCCAGGAAATATTAATATAGTTCTGAACACAATGCTGTATGAGATTGGACATTTGGCATCACTACACCAAGACCCATGAAATAAAGACATACGTCAGGGTACAGGGTGCCCCCAGAATGAAATAAGTTAAATTTAAGACTTT